GACCTGCCCCTCACCTCAGAAGCACAGCTCACACACCTGCATCCTTGCTGCCCTGCAGGCGGCTTCATAGGGTGCTTGCTTTTTTGTGTCTCTCTTCCTCTGGGGCTTGCACACGCATGGTCACTGTACTTCTTGAGTGAGAGAAACTATCCAAACCATTTGTGTGATGGGCACAGAGGGATCTCCTTGGAATGCTCTACAATAGAATCTTGGCCAGTACTCCATGTTATTACTACTGGGGTAGAAAAGGAGACTTTTAATTAGTTAGAATAGGGAACATTTCCCAGCGGGACAGGATCCCTCAGATTAAATTTCAAATAGAGGAATAATACAGGTGGCTATTATTATCCTTTGTGCCTAACACTCAGCAGATTCAATGTAGGCTTGCTGAATTAAATTAACACTAACTACTTATATTTATATATTGATTTTCAGTTTTCAAAGTATTATAATTCTCAGTTTAGTGGAAAGAACACTGGACTGCCAGTATACCCTGCTTCCTCTCTTAATACATGGAAAATAATTTTGCTTTGGAAAAGATTTTGCCTGGTTTTATTACGTAGAAAAAAATTTTGAAGACCCTCAGGGACAGTTTTCACTGAAAATAAGTCAGTAACAGGAAGGATGTTATTTGACACAGAACATTTCTGATTATTTAAACCTTTAATACATTTCCAAGGTATCTGTAGCAGATGTTGCTACATACTTGTTTGGCCTAACACTCTCCATTCCCCTGTACCATATGAAGGCATATCAAAGAGCCTTTATGTATTTGAAAGGCAGAGAGACAGAGAACAATAAGAAAAAAGAAGGAGAGGGAGAGGGAGAGGGGGAAGGAAGGGGGAGGAATGAGAGAGAGGGAGAGAGAGGGAGAGAGAGAGAGAATATCTTTTATCCACTGGTTTAATACCCAAGTGTTCCAACAGCCAGGTCTGGGGCAAGCCAAAGACAGGAGCCAGGACTCCATTATGGAGTGGCAGGGGCCCAAGAACTTGGGCCATCTTCCACTGCCTTCCCAGGCACATTAGCAGGAAGCTGTATTGGAAGCAGGGTAGCTGGGACTTGAACAGGCACTCTGATAATGGGATGCTAGCATCACAAGCAGTTGCTTAACCAACTGCTACACAACTCCAGCCCCAAGTGATTGCTTCTCTGCCACCCACATGGGAGACCTTGATTGAGTAACCTGGCTCCAAAGGGCCATTGTGTACATGTGGAGAATGAACCAGCAGGTGAGAAATCTGTATCTCTCAAATAAAGAAATAAGAAAAAATATTATTAAAAATTTGTGGAAAAACAGAATTAAAACACGTTTATTTTGATGCAAAAATTGAAATCCATGCATATGAGGAGTCTTTAAAACATTCACGAAAATTAGTGTATTATGAAAAATCTACCCATGAATTTCAACATTTTTTGTACCAAAATGAACTCATATTTTAATTCCATTTTTAAATGAAAATTCTGAAGTTTATTTGTATCCCTTTGCCAAGAACATTCTCCCTGGCTGTGGGGAGACGGGAAGTGTGTGATGTTCACATCCTGTGGGATCAGCCCGCAACCAACAACCAATGGAGTTGGTGTAAAAATAGCCCTGCTTTCCTGGTATCTCCTCCCAGGGGAGATCACTTGACACAAAGTTCTACACCAAGGGGTGGTGTTCCAGCTGTCAGCTATGGTTTAATGACACAGGGGTGATTGCCTTCTCTGCCTCATCCCCACTCCTCTAACCCTGCTTCCTGGGACCACCTCCCATACAGACTACTTGCATGCAAACTCTTCTTTCAGGATCTGCTTCTGAGGAAACCCAAGCAAAAACTTTCCCCAAAGCACCTTTCCCTAGAAGGGCACCGGGTGAGCTCATTCAAGCCATTAAGTCACTCAACAAGGTGTGACGCTGCCTGCTAATCCTTTGCTCAAACAATTTTCCAGTCTATCACTGTCCACCGACTTCAGTGCTCTCCTGGGCAGGTCTGCTCCACTTGCCAGCCTCATTCTGTTAATGATAGTGTAAAATTTTTAATTGAAAATAAAGAAGATAAATGTGCTTAGTAGCATCACTCTCAACACTACACAGCTGTGAGAGAGACTCTGTGATGGAAAAAACCAGCTGGTCCAGGCTCTGCACTGATGAATTTCAGAATGAGATATTTGAGTGTTTGTTTTCCTCACCTTTATGAAGGAGGTGAGAACTTAGTTATATTTGACTGTATATAAATTCCTCATAAGATTCCTAGAGCTAGATAACTGTTGACCACTCAGGTCTAGATAGAAATGGTCAGGATGAACACTTTTGTGCAGAAATCACGTTTTCTATTCAATTATTAGGTGTTATCTAGGTTAAACTTCGGGTAGCCCTTGATGTCTCTTCAACAACACCCCTGACAAACTGCCACTAACTCTCACTTTGAACACTGGCAGATATGGAGAACACACCACTTCCATTTATTTACTAACCTTACTCACTAGACAGTTCTTCCTTTAACTGAATTAAAGTTTTCCACACATGGTTCCAACCAATGGTGGGAATTTTCTTGCGAGAAATTCCTGAGCAAGTAGAATGCCTTAGCCCACATGGAGAATTTGAAATATTTGAAAACCTAATGTCTCTCTAAAATTTTCTTCCTTCCAGGATAAACATTTCCAGTTATTTCTGCTCTCCTTAGCAAGCTGCGGTTTGGAGTCCCTCTATCCACCCTACCATGTCACTCTCTGTCACCTTCTTTCTTGGAGTGAGACACCTAATGGAAACAACCTACTTGTCCAACACTTGGGGATTAGAATGTTTAAATAAATGATAGTAGTCGGAAATATGATGTAGCTCTTGAAATTGTGTCTTGAAGCACATTTAATACTATAAAAATGGTCATCACAGATCAAATAGACAGGGACCTAGCAGACATGCAAAAAGGATCCAGTTTCACAAAGAAATATACACATAGAAAGGAAAGGCCCAAATATTAAGGATAGTCATATTATGATTAGTTTTGAATCTTAACACTTTTCCAAATTTCCTACAGGGAACATGTATTTTTTTTTAATTAGCAAAAGTGTTTTTGGAAAAGAAACAAAGAAATAGCCCTCACTATATTCTGATGTTGGAGATCCAAGCACAGCCAGTACCCCTCAATTTGGATGCTTCACTTCTCAATTTCAGATAAAGTTTTTGATGGATCACACTAACCACCAACACTGAACTTGCAGTTCATCAGACCTGGGAGGACTTTTGTTTTTCGCCCTGTGTCAATGAGTGTCCCTTTTTAACCTGGTCACTGGTATTGGAGCAGCCTGCCAGCAAACACCAGGGCTGGATGAGAAGGGAAGGGTGCAGAGGTCAGTTTCAGTGTCCATGGCCTTGGTGGGGCAGGGCTGTGTGTGCAGGAGGGAGGTCATGAAACATCAGCTTTCCAAACCCCTGGACAGACACCCCACCCTAGCGTCCTCCAAGTGGTAAGGCTGAGCAGTTCTGTTTTGGGAAGGTGAGCAGGACCCTGTGAGGATGCTCCATGAGCTCTCTGTTCCAGAGATGCAGTGGACCACTGTGCACCTTGGGTAGATGGCTCAGAATATCAGAGCCTTGCAATATACATGCTTCCCAGTCTCCTCTGCAGAGACACTCCCTGGGATCCGTTTGTGGGAAACATTGGGAAAGAGAGCAGCACTGGAAGAGCCAGTCAAGGCCAGGAGTGTGGAGCTGACGCTGTCCATAAAAATCCATAGGCAGTTTTTCATTGTTCTCGCTACAGGAGTGGATTCTAGCCACTGGGGATATAGCTTTGGCTTTCTTCCTTTCTCTCTGGACTGTGGTACTGATTCATTCAATTTTTTTAATATTAAAAAAGATGCTCAGCTCAATTTGTACTCTTTTGACTTATAAGATCTATAGAGTAAGCAGAAAAACTTTGGTATCAACGATTCCTCATGCCCAGAACGCTAAATACACAAAAAACCTCTACTTTCTTTTGGCAAAGTAGACACATACGCTGTTCACAGCAAAGGACCCGAGTGTCAACTCCACACATTTTTGCTTATTAACCGTCCTTCCAACCATCTAAGCCTTGTTCCCCTAAATATGAGTCTCTTTAGATACTAAGATAACATTTTTTTATCCCAAGGTTTGGAGTTCCTAGAAATATAGCTTAGCTGAAGTCAGGAGAATTTTTAGAGGGTATGCCATGGCTCGAGTACTGTACTCCCTGGGGTTGGAATAAATGGGTGGATGATGTTTAAAAGCTTGGTGGTTTTCATCAGGAACCCAGCATGTGCCCTGCTTGATCAAATGTGAACGTGTGTGGTTATAGTTGAGCAGTGTGTGCTACGATTCTCCGCTGACACTTATTTGTTGAGGGCTACTAAACAGGATGCTCAGTGTTGTGGGGAAGAAAAGTATGCAGTGGTCCTATGCAGTGTTCTTACTCTCATGAAGTGAAGATCGTAATGTGAGTTGCTGTAGTTTTTGGCTTTTTGTCTTCAGTTTTGCCCAGCAAGAACCTAAATGGCTTATTTCCACCCTTCAATTCAATACTGTCAGCTAGAGTCGCTTTACGCCTTGCCAAGTCTCTCTCTTCTTTGCACTTTCCTCTACATATTTTCTTGGCACTCTGTTCTTACAGACTTCAAGTTTTTTTCCTTTCTTTTCTTCTCACAAAGCCATTGTCAAACCTGCTGCCAGGCCCCAGGCCTTGTTCATTTGCTTTCTGGCCTCAGCGGTGGCTCTAACAATTTGGGCACTTCTAATGTCTATGTGTGCTGTGTGCACATGTTTGTGAATGCATGGGTTCCTGTGTGCATGCATGTGTGCCTGAATGAATATGTTTCTACCTTATTGGATACATGTGCACATATATGCAATATGCATGCATGTACCCGATACGTTCCTGTGCATGCTTGTGTGCACACACGTGTGTGAGTGTGTATATACATGGGTATGTTCCCAGTAACCAGGGACACCAAGACTTAAGACAAACACATTTCTCCCTCCAAGGTCACCTTGTACTTACATAGTTGGAGGCCAGGTCCGGGTGGAGATAGTCAATCCCTGTGAAAAGACAACAAGACAGGAACCAAAGATTAGTGCTGCACACTGTGTCCTAGCAGAGCTGCCCAAGGAAGCAGTGTCTGTACCCAGCTGGGGCCAGGGCAATGCCACAGTCATGGGCACTGGTCCCTGAGCCCCTATCCTGGTGTTTTCCTTTCTGTGTGAAGATAGGCTGCTCTGCTTGCGTCTGTCTAGCTGCTCCCAGACACACTTCAGAGGAGTGAAGCCAATTAGTGCCTGGAGCCCTGGGATAACACTTCCAACACGAATGTCAGTACTAAGGGGCTTAGTGACCGCAAGATGGATGGCTCCTCAGAGCGGTGATCTAAAAGAGATTTGTAGAAATCCTGGCACTTTGAAAGCACCGACTGGCATTTCTTCTGAAATGAAACTGGCCGTGGGGAGGCAACACAATTATTATTTCACAAGGCACGGGCAGCAGTGGATTAGGAGAGCACAGTTGGGCATGGAAACAAGGGGAGGAATGCAGCTCGGGGGAGAAAATCCATTAGGCAGAGGGCAAATGGATTCCAGCAAGGGGTTCCCAGCTGGGAGCTCAGGCTTGTCTCTTTCCAGGAAACCAGAGGCCTCAGACCTCTCAGCAGGAAGCCTGCGCTTCCTCCTGAATGTGGGCCTGTCTTGTTGCCCAGAGTTGTTCCAAGGGTTGAACCATGATCTGTGAGCACCGCTGAGCTCCCTCAGGCCCTTGGACCTCAGAAAGCACTGAGAGACTCCAAGGGCAACTGCAAAGCCCTCATTTGGGTCTGCAGAAATACTTAGGAAGGTTCTTCAAAAAGTTTGTGGAAAATCCGTGGTATTAAAAAAAAACTATGCCTGGATGTCAAAACTTTGGCACCAAAATAAACTTATCTTTTAATTCCATTTTTCCATGAACTTTTTGAAGTGCCCTCGTAATCTTTGCAGGATTTATACCTCAGCATCTAGCACTGGGAGACACAGGGCAGGTGCCTGAGACCTCCTAGCACAAGGGCTATGAGTTTAGGTTTTTGCTGTCAAGGATCACAGTTGGAGTCCTGAACACCCAATCACTGGCAGTGAGACTCTGGGTGGGCTGCTTGCCCTCTTTGTGCTTGTTTTCCTTCTTTTTTTAATTTTTAAAGAGAAAGAGGGAAGGTGGGGGGGGAGAGGGAGAGAGAAGAGTGAGAGCGGGCGAGCGAGAGAGAAATATCTTCCATCTACTGGACCCTTCCCCAGATGGATGCAATAGCCAGCATTTGGTCAGGCCAAATCCAGGAGCCAAGAGCTTCTGCCAGGTCTTCCACATCAGTAGTAGGGGCCCAAATGCCTCGGCCACCTCCACTGCCCTTCCCAGGCCACTAGCAGGGAAGCTGGATCAGAAGCCGGGAAGTGAGCCAGGGACCACATGGGATGCCAGGGCTGCAAGCTGCAGCTGTGCTTGCTTTCTTGCCATCGGAGCAAGAATTAAAGGAGCCAGTGCATGTGGCTTATCTCAGGGGCTGTTGCACTTAATAACCATATAAGGATGCAGTACTTAAAAGCCAAAGTATCATGAAATGCTCCCTGTAGCAGGCAACTGCACTGCGTGCTAAGGCTGTGCTACCATGGCAGCTTTGCCCTGAAGAAAGGAACTTGGATTAGGGCACAAAGTTTGTGGCAAAATGGGCATTAATTTTCCCTGAAGGGAGGACAGAAGTTCCACTTAGCTTATGGCCCTGTCTAAATACTAAGGAGTTTGTGGACTCAAAAGGCTTCCATAGCCTTGGCAGCTCATGACAAGAGCCTCAAGTGATCACTGACATCATAAATAAGAGTGTCAATTGTTAAATCAACAACAGGAGTCACTGTGCACTTGCTCCCCATATAGGATCTCTGTCCTTCTTGAGTTGTACTAGGAGAATTAACTGTAAAACTTGTTCTCAAACAGAACTTTACACTTTGTGTGTCTGTGTGGGTGCAAACTGTTGAAATCTTTACTTAATATAGAGTTGGTCTTCTGTATATAAAGTTAATTAAAAACAAATCTTAATGAAGAATGGGATGGGAGGAGTAGGAAGTGGGATGGGAGTGGGGATGGGAGTGGGGGTGGGAGGGCAGGTGTTGGGGGAAGAACTGCTATATTGCTAAAGCTGTACCTATGAAATTAGTATTCATTAAATAAAAGCTTTCTAAGAAAAAAAAGGGGGTGAAGGGAGAGCTCTCCATGAACACCGAGAATAAGTCATGTGAGCATGTAATAAACTGTTGTCCACCTACAAACCAAGAGAATAATCAGAATGAAAAATAAAATGGAGTTAAAAGGTAAGCTTATTTTGGTGCAAAATTTTTAAAGGTTTATTTTATTTATTTGATAAGGTAGAGTTACAGAGAAAGACAGGGAGAGACAGAGACAGAGACAGAGCGAGAGAGAGAGAGAGAGAGAGAGAGATCTTTTATCTGCTGGTTCACTCTCCAAATGGCCACAATGTCTGGGTCTGGGCCAGGCTGAAGCCAAGAGCTTCATCTGGGTCTCCCATGTATATGGCAGGGACCCAAGCACTTGGGCCACCTTCTGCTGCCTTCCCAGGAGCATTAGCAGGGAGCAGGATTGGAACTGGAGCAAATGGGACTTGAAACGGCGCCCACATGGGATGCCGGCATCACAGGTGGTGATTTAACCCGTTACACCACAACACCAGCCCTGGTGCAAAGATTTTTGGTATTTATGCATAGACTTGTTTTTTATATTTTTTTGAAAGGTAGAGTTAAGGAGAGGCAGAGGCAGACAAAGAGGTCTTCCATCTATTGGTTCAGTTCCCAAATGTCTGCAATGGCTGTAGTTGGGCTAATTTGAAGCCAGGAGCCAGAAGCTTCTTCCAGGTCTTCCACGTGGCTGCAGGGGCCCAAGGACTTGGGGCATCTTCTACTGCTTTCTCAGGACATAACGAGAGCTGGATAGGAAGTGGAACAGCTGGGTCTTGAATGGGTGCCCATATGGGATGCTGGCACTGCAGGCAGCGGCTTTACCTGCTATGCCACAGCACTGACTCTGCACAGGCTTTTCATAGTACCCATTTTCCATGAAATTGTTGAAGACTATTTGTATATATGATTTCAAATTAATTTGCACCATAATAAAGTTATCTTTTAATTTCATTTTCTATGAACTTTGTGAAGTACTCTCATGTTAGAATGCATATTTCTTTTTATTTGTTTGGCAGGGAGAGAGAAAGAGAGAGAGAGAGATAGAGAGAGAGGAGAGAGCGAGTGAGCGAGCACACCCCCATCTACTGGTTTACTCCCTAAATGCCAGCAACTGCTGGGGCTGGGGCCGGGGCTGAAGCTGAAAGCTGGAAACTCAATCCAAGTTTCCCATGAGGGTGGCAAATGTTCAATTACTTGAACAGTCACCTGCTGTCTCCCACAGTAAGCATAGGCAGGAAGCTGCAACTGGGAGTCAGTGCAGGGGAATTAAACTCCTGTATTCCAATGTAGGACATAGACAGCTTAATCACTAATCACCTATCCCATGGATGTATAATTTTAAAAATAAATTTCCTTTTTTTTCTGGTTAGACCAGTAATTTCTGGACTAGGAGTTTTCGAACTGCAGGGAGTTTCACTGTGGTAATTATGACATGTGAGACATTGTCTTCCTGGCTGCTTTCTATAGCTTGGCAGAGTATAGCAAGTCACTCCCCACCCACAATCATGTTTACTTCTTCTGTTGGTTGACTTCTCAAATGGCTGCAATGGTCCGAGCCGGGCTAGGAGTCAGGAGCTTTTTCTGGGTCTCCCATGTGGAAGTGGAGCAGCCAGGTCTCAAACTGGCGCCAATATGGGATGCCGGCACTGCAGGCGGAGGCTTTACCTGCTACGCCACAGCACCAGCCCCTTTACCCATTATTTTTTTTTTTAACTTTTATTTAATGAATATAAATTTCCAAAGTACGGCTTATGGATTACAATGGCTTCCCCCCCATAACGTCCCTCCCACCTGCAACCCTCCCCTTTCCCACTCCCTCTCCCCTTCCATTCACGTGAGGATTCATTTTCAATTCTCTGTATATACAGAAGATCAGTTTAGCATACATTAAGTAAAGATTTCAACAGTTTGCTCCCACACAGACACATAAAGTGAAAAATAATAGATGATTTCTTAAATGATGATGAAATCAGATCAGACCTATTGTCATGTTTAATCCCAGTGAGAGTCAAGTTGGGAATTGCTAATTTCTTCTTTTTTTTTAACAGAAGATCAGTTTAGTATACATTAAGTAAAGACTTCAACAGTTTGCACCCCCATAGAAACACAAAGTGAAATATACTGTTTGAGTACTCGTTATAGCATTAAATCTCAATGTACAGCACATTAAGGACAGAGATCCTACATGAGGAGTAAGTGCACAGTGACTCCTGTTGTTGACTTTACAAATTGACACTCCTGTTTATGGCATCAGTAATCTCCCTATGCACCAGTCATGAGTTTCCAAGGCTATGGAAGCCCCTTGAGTTCTCCAACTCTTATCTTGTTTAGACAAGGTCATAGTCAAAGTGGAGGTTCTCTCCTCCCTTCAGAGAAAGGTACCTCCTTCTTTGAAGACCTGTTCTTTCCACTGGGATCTCACTCACAGAGATCTTTCATTTAGGGTTTTTTTTTTTTTTCCAGAGTGTCTTGGCTTTCCATGCCTGATTATTAAGCAGGATTACTTATTTTTTTGTTGTTGAGTTTTTTGAGTTGCTGATATATTTTAGATATTAATCTGTTGGATAAGTAACTTGAAAATATTTTCTCCCATTCTGTCAGATGTCTCTTCACTCTACTGATTATTTCTCTGCTGTGCAGAAGGTTCTGAGTTTTATAGAAACCTTCCTCTAGTTTTGCTTCTGTTACCTGCACTTTGGGGGTCTCATCCAAGAAGTCTTGAAGTGTTTCACCTACATTTTCTTCTAGCAATTTCACAGTCTCAGATCTTAAATTAAGGTCTTTGATTCATCTTCAGTAGATTTTGGTATATGGTTAGAGGTAGGGATCTAATTTCA